CTCCCTGCTGTGTTAGGAACCATTGGCAAGCCTCCCTTTCTTCTGGCATTGGCAGAGACCCATGGTCAGACACTTGCCTGGCTGTCCAGAGCTGACATTCTCTGTCCTTGCTTCATTGTGCTTTACGGCTGTCCTCTTACACCCTGCTGTCTTCTCCATGCTAGCAAGCTTGAAGAGCAGTGCATGGGTTCATGAAAAGTCGACTGGTGTTATGCGAGAAAACATCACTTGGGTAGCATAGGCATGTGTGAGCCATGAACATTTGAATTACTTATTTTTGTTGGGTAGAGAGAAGATAGATTGCAACTATGGGGTCTGTGCTTGTGTTCAAGGTGTGCACAGCTGGCCTCTGCATCCAAGAGGCTCATGATAAATCATCCCATCAATGTCCTGGCACTGTGCTTGAAGAGGTTTGATGCTTTCTCTGACAGAAAGATTAGCAAGGCATGTATACAAGTGCACTGCAACTTTTCTTAGAATGAGACATTTCCCAAAGGAGAATCCTTTTCTGGAGGCTGTTGGCATTTGCACATTACGGCTAGCAAGTGCAGGCATCTAAGAAAAAATCAGTGCAATAGGTGGGCCTTGCTCTTTCCTTTGTGGTAACATCGCTCCTACTGTGTTCATAACGAGGTGGTTTGGCTAGGGACACTTTAACTGCTGCTTAAATGTTGAAATGGCAAAATGTGTTTTGAGTGAACTGGGAAGATATATTTCTATATCGATATATACAGCCTCTAGCCTGTGCTTGGTGACAAGGTTTTCTCAGGCTGTTTCCTAAAGACTCTCAAACTACCTTCTTGGTGTCTCTTTAGGTTGTGTGGTATCTGGAACATTTGGATCTTAGCACATACGTGTATCGAGCAGCTGGAGAACCACTGCTCTATTCCTTATATGGTGTCCTGGTACATGAAGGTTTCAGCTGCAATTCGGGACACTATTACTGCTTCGTAAAGGTAAAAGTCAACTTGATTTACATTGGTGTGTTGTGTCATTCTGTGGTGTCCTGTCTGTGTTTTGGTTTTAAAAACCTTGCAGTTCATCTAAAGATTTCATTGCCTTTCTTTGCAGGCCAGTGATGGATGGTGGTACAAGATGAATGATGACTCTGTGGTTCTTTGTAACATCGAGACAGTTCTCTGCCAGCATGCATATTTACTGTTCTACGACAGGTAAGAACAAGTGTGAAAGGGTGTAACACACTCCCTCTCCTGTTAGTGGTCTTTTTTGTTTTTCTCCTCTCCACTGGGTTTTGCTTTCTGTCCTAGGAGAGAATGACTGTTTTTCCAGTTGAGTTCTGTCTGCTCTGCAGTTTACCAGATCCTTTATTCTCTCTTCTTGGCTGGCACTAAACTGTTGCTAGCTCTCTGCTCTGTGAGACTGGCTAGCAGTGAAAAGAGGTGAAATGGGGGTCTGAGAGGGTATAAAGATGAGTTACTGCTCTGACAGGGACAGACAGAGCTGGAAGACCATGATGTGATTTCCAGTGCCTAGTGCTGGTTGAGTCTTCTGCCTGTCATGTCAAGTGCTGCCAGAAGATGACAGGATGAGACTGAAGCCACGAGAAGGCTGTAAGAACAACCCTAGTCTAAGATCACTGTTTTTTCTCCAGGTGCCATGATTTGACCCCCAGAGCAGGCGCTGAATGCCAAGAGACAAAGAGCACTTCTGTGGCAAAGCTAGATCAAGTGCAGAAGAGTCTGTTTTCTAGAGACATCACAGAACTGAAAGAAGATGGAGAAAATACACAAGGGATCCAAGGGAAAAGGCAAACACGGAGCTCTGCAAGAACTTCCCCTCAGCACTGTGGCAGGAGGAGAGTGTGCTCACTTGTTGAGGAGGTGGAAAAGCTGGTTGGAAGCCACCTGAACTCTCTGCCTCCCAGGCAGAGGCACACTTGCGGCATGGAAACGCAGCAGGGCAGCCACCATTTATGGGCATGGGGCAGTGGAGAACGTGGTCTCCCAGCAGTGCCAGTTCACCCAGGGCTTGCAGGCTTTTGCCAGGGAAATGAAAAACAACCACCCAGAAAAAGAAAACATTCCTGTGCAGAGGCAAGTGAAAGTGTGCCTGAAAGAAAAAGGCAAAAGAGACTAGCTTTCTGGAGATATTCAACATCAGGCTTGATGGGGCTCTGAGCAATCTGATCTGGTAACTTTGTCCCTGCTTACTGCAGGGGTGTTGGACTGGATGATCTTTAATGGTCCCTTCCAACTCGACACATTCTATGATTCTATGATAACCAAACCTCATGCTATGTGGTGCTTCTGATTTCTGTAAAGAGTTTGACCATGCAAGAAAAAACAGAGGGATTGAGGGGTTGTTTAATTTTTTTAATTTAAGACTCCCTTTATGAAAGTACCCTTGTGATCCAGAAGGTTGGAAGCCTTCCACACCTGCTGAGAGTATTAAATTAGCATGTAGAGATTTCAGAGGGGAAAAAAAAAGTCAGAAAACAGAGCATCTCCAGTGCCACTCAATTAAAGCATCAGGTCACTTGTGTGTGATTGCTGTTGTCTTCTCCCAGTTACAAAATCCCGTGCAGAAGAGATAGGAAACCAAGACATTACCAACATTGTCACTGATGGTCCCCATCAGCAGGCTCCTCTTGATAAGAAAATGGGTTTCCACTCTTCCTTCTTTCTTGTTTCAGTGAAGAAGCTGGTTTCCTGGCAAACTTGGGCAGTAGAGTTTGAGTAAAAAAGACAACACTTTACCCTTTATCTGGGACACTTCTGTAGAGTCCCACAGGAGCTACAGTTCATACACCTTCTGGCCCATTTCCAAGCCTGGCACAAGGTGTTCTAGATATGAAATCAGTTTCTGAGGCAAAATTGAGACTGAAACATACAGGCAGTTCTCCTTAGTGAAAGTATAAAACAACCAGCTCCCAACCTACTGTCAGACTGCCTGCAAAACGAGCAAAGACACTTCTCTGTCGGCATCCTCTTTCATTTTCATATGCCAGCACTTGGGACTACGGTGTCCTCTAGAAATCAAATCCAGTGAGAGAGGCGTTGAGAATGGGGATGTGAGCAGGAACAGAGTCATAAAATCATAGAATGGTTTGAGTTAGAAAAGACCTTTAAGATAATCGAGTCCAACCACTGAACCAGCCCTACTAAGTCCATCACTAGACTATGTCCCTAAGCACAATATCTACTTGTTTTTTAAACACCCCCATGGGTGGTGACTCAACCACCTCTTGGGCAGCCCCTTCCAGTGCTTGACAACCCTTTCAGTAAAGAAATTCCTCCAAAATATCCAACCTAAACCTCCCCTGGTGCATTTCAAGCCCATTTCCCCTTGTCCTATCACTAGCTACCAGGGAAAAAAGACTTGACACCCTACCTTGCTACAACCTCCTTTCAGGTAGTTGTAGAGGGCAATAAGGTCTTGGGACCCCTCAGTCTTCTTTTCTCCAGACTGAACAACCCCAGCTCCTTCAGCCACTCCTATTGTTCTCACTATTGCATGTTAGCAGCACAAGTAAACATTGTAACTGTGTTACAGACTGGTACCCCTTAGACATCTGGTCTGCAGAAATTTGAAATAAGAAATAAAACAGGTTATTAGTTCAAAACTTTAGGAAGGTTTTTGGTTGGTTCTCACTGCATATCAGATATTTTTACTCAGACAATGCAAAACATGGAAACAATTTTACTCCAAGTATTAATCTTTTATAAGAATTCTTGACAATATCTAGATGAACCTAATGTTTCTAGTGACACTTTCTATAAGCTATGGTTCAGCTGTTGCCCAGCAGCATCTAGTACTTAGAACTGAGACCCAAAAATATTAAATACATAAATAAATATTAAGCTATAGGCTCCAACTTGAGCTGGGAACACCTTGTAGCCTTCAGTCTTACTTAGCCAAGTTATGATGTAACATAGGTGTAGCCATTTAAAAGGAATATAGTAAGTGAAGAAATGAAAAGGAAATGCTTCAGTTACTTTTGAAAGGCACTACCTAGTGCCAGGTTTCTTCCTCCTGCTGATTTGCTGGGTTCCTCCTGGAAAAGCAGGAGTCAAGGTCTCATACCTCCTGGCTTCTTTGTTCTGGTGGAGATCCTGAGCTGCTACAGCTCATCACCCTGTGACAGCTTTGACTGGTACTGTGTTGATTGGGTCTTTCATCCTCACATTTCTTCCTTTCCCTCCTGCAGCAGTGTGTGTTCCAGTTGTTCCTGTGGACGATGTGTTTTCCTTCTTGTGTAGGTGTGTAAACATGCCCTGTTGGGAGTCATCCTGTATACCTGAATGGTTCCTGAACAAGTCTTTTTTCTTTTCCTTGATGAATGAAATTTTGCCTTTAAATACTTTCCTTATTGGCTACTTCATTTGCTGCAGTAAGCAATGCGTATTTCACAGGGTCTGGGGTTCTGCATTAGTGTAAACAGTAAAATAAAAAATCTGAAGTGAAGCTGAAGTGTAAAAGGCATGATTGGAAAGACAGTGTCAGCGATAGCTGAAGAACTGCAGAAAGGATCTGATTCACAGGAATTGGAAGGGAAGAAGTTTCCCCTGTTGTTACTTGTATCAGCGAATGACCCAACTAGTACCAAGTGTTAGGATTTCAATTGCTAACCCATGGATTCAAAATGCCACAATGTGGTTCTCATAAAAAGGCATTTATTGCAAGCAGAAAGGGGCCTTCTTGGTATGATTGCTTCCAGCAACCGGTGATGATAGTTCTTTCTTTCCCAGCTAAATGGATTACAGAGCAGATGGAGTTTGTCTGCCTGAACATTTATATCTGGGAGAACGCTGACTAATGGGATACTTTGTCTAGACAACGTTTTAAATCTTTTTATAGTATTTATTTATTAGTGTTTCATTACTGCTCAGGAGCCCTGGGCCTGGACCTGTGCTAATCAAAAAGAAAATAGAAAGGAATGTTCCTAATTACAAGAGGAGTCAAAAGCAAGCATTTCAGAAAAGGACTTGCAGTGAGAGATACATGATCTGCTCTGATCCTTTGGAAACGTTACTGCAGTTCTACATGTGTCCCTTCTCACTTCCCACTTTTCTACTCCACAGTTTTTTCATGGCACTCTTCACCTCCTCATTTCTCAGAGTGTAGATAAGTGGGTTCAGCATGGGTGTGATGACAGTGTAAAACACTGCCACACTCTTGTCCTCTGACAGATCACTGGATGGGCGTATGTAGGTGAATGTGCATGGCCCGAAGAACAGAACCACCACAGCGATGTGGGACCCACAGGTGGAGAGAGCCTTGTGCCGCCCTTCAGATGTTTGACTTTTCAAGGAAACCAGGATGACAATGTAGGACACAACTAGGATGAAGAAACAGCTCAGTGCTATCATTCCACTGTTGGCAACAACAATGATTCCCACAGCGTAGGTGTTGGTACAGGCCAGTTTTAGTAGGGGGTGGACATCACAGAAGTAGTGGTCAATTTTGTTGGGGCCACAGAACGGGAGACAAGAAGTTAGGAGAGTCTGCAACATGGAATGCACGAAGCCTCCCACCCACAAGCCAATCACCATCTGGCTGCACACGCGCCTGGTCATGAGGGTGGTGTAGTGGAGGGGTCTGCAGATGGCTGTGTAGCGATCGTAGGCCATCACTGTGAGGATGAAGATCTCTGTGCAGCCAAAGAAATGGACCCCAAACAGCTGTGCTATGCAACCCACAAAGGAGATGGTTTTATTTTCAACAAGGAAGTCTGCAATCATTTTGGGAGCTGTGACGGAAGAGTAACAGATATCTACAAAGGACAGGTAGGAAAGGAAAAAATACATGGGGGAATTCAGACATTGACTGCTAATTACTGTGATAACAATGAACACATTTCCTGCGACAATAATGATATAGAAGAACAGAAACAACACAAAACATATTTTCTGCACTCCTTCATTCTCTGAGAGGCCCACAAGAATGAATTCCTTCACACTGCTTGCATTGTCCATGTTAATTGGTTGGGTGGCAATATGCGATATACAGACTATACACCTGGAAAAATAAAGACATATGAAAGAATCTGGTGATATCCTCTCTCCCAGCATAATATGAATTTTACCTAGTACTGATATTTTATTCTTTTTTATACACTTTGAGGGATATTCTCAAGAGTTAACTTGCACTTAGTGAAGCTAGTCTAGGTGGTCGGTCTAAGCCTCTCTACAGGCAGAATGTCTGAATTCGGGTTCTTTATAGAACTCTTTCATTTCCATTGACTAGAATAAGAATAAGTAAATTAATATTACTAAAGTTCACTTTATGGAATAATCCTTTTTCCCCCTGAAGGCAGTTCAGAGGCTTCCAAAATACTATCCCATTTTTTTGTGCTGTGGCTGAACTCTTTAACCCTAGGCATTTCTACATCAGTATAGTTTCTCTTTCCAGATATGGTCACATTCCAGTGTGGACACGGAGCTGCTTCGGTTAAGCCTGTTCCAGCTGTAGCTCCCAGAGTAGTACATGTTACTGACAAATAAATAAGCTTCATCTTTAAACAGATTTATAGTCCTTAACATTTCTAACTTGTCATTATGCATCCAGACAATTGGAGTCCCTTTGGTCGGAGAAGTCTGGGAACAACTAGATTAAACTCTCCTCAGAGTTTAACCAAAAGGAGGTGCCCTTAGAATAGAATTATCAGCTGTGTGGTGTACATTTTAGTATCAAAATATTCCCAATCAACTGGTGTTAAAAATCACCATTATAAGTCCAACTCAATGAAATCACAATCAGTTCTTACTGAATGTGCTGGTGATCTCTGAGCAGACTCGGAAAATGAAACAATTGATTCAAGTTATCTAGCAACTATTTAAAATGACAGCATAATCAGAAACTCTTGTGCAGGCAAAAATTGATCAAACATACACAGGAAACATAGGAACGGAGAAAAAGCAAGAAGTAGGTAAAAAGGTATTCAAGAATAAGAGTAAACTTTTTCTGAAATACCTAAAAAAAAAAAAGGATGAATAAAAACAGTATGGTATTGACTGTTACCTGGTCATACCAGGCTGTGATCCTTTCAGTCCCTCTTTTCATTTAATGATGACAGATTTCTCCAAAAAATAATACAAAAATATGAAATAAGCACAGCTTTATGGTGGTGCAGAACTCAGTGGAAGATGAATAGCTAGGCTCCATCCAGGCCAGAGCAGGACTGGAAGCAAACTGCACCGGTCCTGCTGTCATGTTTAGGCAACCAGTTGTTTGGAAATGAGTGACCAAGCGACAAACGACCACGGAAAACTATATTCTTAGTTTGATGGCAGGAAATCTGTAAGGTAAAAACAAGCTGTATATTTTAGAATGGTTTCTAAAGATACAACTGGTTCACAAAATGACGTCACTGTCTATCCATCTTGATAAGGGCTCTGCCAGCAACACCAATTTACGTTTTACAAAATATTCATTTGCCTGATCTTATCTCATTGACTTGTGTCATATAGGCATTTACATCTAAGCTAGTCACACGGACTCCTTTTCTGCCTTGGCAGAGCAATTCACCATCAGCCTACAGTATCTACTTAAAAAGGTCATGAATTACATGCTGAAGCTACCTGCTCCTTTCCGTTGACTCAAAGATGACTAGAATGACTAATTCAGTGGAGAAATCCCACATGTTATGTCTCACCTTAAATTCTCTTTTCAGGGTCAGACTGGCATTGTATGATATAATATAAACATTTAAAAAATAAAATAAATACAATATGGACTGCTAGCACCTCAAGAAGGGTGACAAATTGTATCCTTGTCTCTTATAATCTCCTCATTGCATGCATTCTTCTCTAAAATATTAGCTAGCTAATAGGGAAAAAAAAGAGTAATAACGAAGCAATATGGTCTGGGGCTGTAGTACTGTACATTATTCCAGCTAAAGATAATAACTGACCAGTGACAATTTTAGTGAAACTATCTTTTTGTATTTTCACAACTGTTAAAGAGGAAAGGAAAATAAAGTGAAAAGGAAAGACAGAGAAGAAGAAAGAAAATAAAGAAGAGAAGAAGCCAGACAAGCTGGAAAGCTTACCTTCTCCGCAGTTAGAGATCTAGATTTCGCATAAGTGCTGTACGTTTTTATCTCTCCGATGTCTGTCCTCCCTGTTAGGAATGTGACAGAGCTTTTAAAGAATGTAGAATGACCTCTAGAAAGCTTTCAAAATTTGTTTAGGAGATGCCTTCTATTGTATCATCTCGTGTAATTTAATGTCTTGCTTTTCTGTATCTCAAGCGTATCATGGCATTCCCTGCCTATGTGAGAACTGATTTGATGGGCTGTATGGGTTATGTAGCCTGTGTGCACTCAATGGTGCATGCGTAACCCAGCAGCAGGAAGAAAAGCTGAGAAGAAAACCATTTAAGTATCACTCTCTAAGCCTCTCCCACAAAATCTCCCACCAGAAAGACTCTTGGGACTAAAGAAGGGAGGTGTGGAGGCTTAGTGAAGGAGAGGCATGAAAGGAAGAGGCAAAGGAGGAGAAATTAATTCTGTCTTGACCAAAAGGTTTAAGCAAATGTATTTTAAAGAAATAGTTGCCAGTCAGTGGCTTTATAATGATACTACAGCATTTCATGTTTTCACCCCTAGAAATAAAAGCCAGTGCGTTGGCTGAATATTAATCTGGACAAAAATGTGTAGCGAACTAGTCCAGTTAACTGCTTCCAGAATCTTTTATTAAGCCAAGCTGAGAGCTTTATGACTTTCCCAAGTGTAGAGGGCCATTAGATCCACTGCTTTGGATTTCTAGCATTGTGACTGCTAAAATAGTGCTTTAAAATGTTTGTATATTAAAAAAACCTGAAACAAAACCTCAAATCTTCATTACAAAAAGGAAGATATTTTAGTAGTAAGGAGAAGAGCACTGCCCTCTGGAGGTAATAAAGTGTTGCCTACCACAATAGCCTTTCAAACACAGGTTTTCTTACTTCTCTCTGGAGTGATTATGATTAAGTTAAGTTTTTATGAGGATAGAAGATGCCTTCCAAGCCTTATTTTGCACAAAATCTCCTTACTGGCAAAACAGTGAACAAAACCTCTATCACTAACTTGAATGCTTTAGCGGAAGTTAGTCCGTTACAAAGTGAGTTAAAAGTGTCTTTCCCTCACAAGTGCGGAAACTGAAGAAGTCAGCTAGCTATTACGTCTATGGAACTCAGCTAATTTGAATCTGACTTTGTCAATCTAGGCTTTCCCATGGAAAGAAATATACCTCTCCAGAAAGTGACTCTTCTGATATACCTAAGACCTGATTTTAGGATGGGATTAGGTCTGAAATAGACATCTAGATTTTGATCAGAAAACCAGATTTCTTGCTGTCAAGAAGGTCCTCACCTTTCTCACACATCTGCAATCAAAAGTGATTTTGTGAAATCAAACATAATGAAGCAAATGGGCATGAAAATTCATGGCTTCACTCAACCAAGGTCTCAAACTCCTCATTGTGCAGAGCTCTACTGTGTACTTTTAGCATTTGCGTCACGGATGTCAATAAAGAAATTGTTTCAGCCATGGCCCGTTACTTTGTTGAAAATTCTGGAAATACTGAATGGTCTGATAGTAACCAAGGTAATGTAACATCTCCTGGCACTGAATGTCAGAGACCATGTATGGAGAATAGAAATTCCAAAATTAGTGTGGAGGTTAAATACTGGTCTGGATGCAAATAGTCCTCTAATTTCAGTATCGTTTTATAATGTTGCTTTGGTTCATGAATAGGTTAATGAGAGGTAACAGTAGTCAGTATAGGATGGGTAAGAAAAAAGGTTTTACAAACTTTGGGAAAGGAAAAGGAATAAGAGATGACAGAAACCAAAAGTGAGCTCTCAGGTATCTAACCCATTAAGCGAATCTGGGTAAGACCTGCTAGTTTTTGTACCCAGTGACACATGTGGTAGCAATTTGGCTAGCATCATAGTAATCTCCTTTTTGGACATTTAATGACCAAGTCACAGGCAGCCAGTTTCCCCAGCAGAATGGTGAGGGGTGTAGTGTCAAAGGCTTTACTGAAGTTCAGGTAGACAACATCCACAGCCTCTCCCTCATCCAGTAAGCAGAGCACTACGTCATAGAAGGAGATCAGGTTAGTCAAGCAGGATCTGCCTTTCGTGAACCCATGTTGACTGGGTCTGATCTTCTGGCTGTCCTGGACATGTCGTGTGATGGCAGTCAAGATGATTTGTTCCATGACCTTCCCTAGCACTGAGGTCAGACTGACAGGTCTGAACTTTCCTGGATCCTCCCTCTTGTAAATGGGCATCACATTTGCCAAGCTCCAGCCAAGTGGAACTTCCCCAGTCAGGCAGGATAAATGATGGAAAGGGGCTTGGTGAGCAACCGCCAGCTCTCTTAGTACACTTGGGTGGATCTCATCTGGCCCCATACACTTGTGGATGTCTACTTGGCAAAGCAGGTCACTAGCCATTTCCTCTTGGAACATGGGAGCTTTGTTCTGCTCCCCATCCCTGTCTTCATGCTCCAGGGGCTGGGTACCTGTAGAACAACTGGTCTTCCTATTACAGACTGAGGCAAAGAAGGCAATAGGTACCTCAGTCTTTTCCTCATCCTTAATCACTATAGTTCCCCCTGCATCCAGGAAAGGATGATCTTTATTTTCTATTATCTTCCACAGAATTAACCAATTTAAGTTCTAGTTGGGCTACAGCCCTTCTAATTTTCTCCCTGCACAGCCTCACGGCAACCTTGTAGTTCTACTGAGTTGCCTGCCCCTTCTTCCAAAGCTCATAGACTTTCCTCTTTTTTCTGAGCTCCAGCCAAAGCCCTCTGTTCAGCCAGGATAGTTTTCTTACCTGCTGGCTCATTTTTTGGCATATGGGGATGGCCTGCTCCTGTGCCTCCAGCATTTCCTTCTTGAAGAGTGTCCAGTGTTCTTGGGCTCCTTCACCCTTTCAGGGCTGCCTCCCAAGGGACTCTGTCAACCAGCCTTTTAAGCAGTCC